ATACTTTTTAGAAAAAGGAGAAACGGGAAAATTTGAACGAGGAGTATTAAATAAAGATCCTGTAATGACTAATACTACTATCCAAATTAATCATAAAAGTGCCATCGGTCGGGATAATTTAGTCCATGTAGATGATAAAAGTTGAGTTTGGAAAGATAGTTATTTACGGCCTGTGGGTGGTGGTCAAGATTTATTTCCTGACTTAATTAATCAAGGACGACAACATATTAAGGTTGATGATAGTAATGCTTGAAAATTTGATGGTTATTCGTCGTGAAGTGGTTCCGTTACTCTACCGAAGAATGTTAAGTATGAGTGATATATGCATGCTTTTAGTAGTGGAGAAAGAGATGAAAAAAATTTCCGAGGAGTGGATGATAATATTATCGTAAAAATTAGCCAAGATGGAGCCGATTGGAGATTAGATATTACGGGCAAAGTAGAAATTACCGAGACTATTGGCAACCCCGATGCTATTGGTGGGGGAGTAGAGATTGATGACTTGGAGGAAATATTACCCGAATTAGAGGATGAGAAAAATACGGAAGGACTGGAAAACCTGGAAAAAGCCATGGAACCAGAAGGAGAACAATCCCAAGAAAAACAAGATGAAATCCAAGACGAATTAGAACCCGAACCCCAACCCGAGAAAACCCAAGAGAAGCAGGAAGAATTAGAGCAGGAGGACGAGAAAAACAAAAATAAACAAAAACAGAAGCAGAAACAAAAAGAGGAACAAAAACAAGACGAGCAGCAGGATGAACCTGAATATAGCCGACAAAATGAAAAGTAATTATGCCAAAAACCATTTACGATACTTTTAAAGACTTTCCCTCATTTTACAACCAATTAAAGTCCCGTTTTGCCTCGGATTTCCGAGTAAAAGATTTAATTACTAATATTTTCTATTCTTCCCAAGTTTATAATACCTATAAGCATGACACCCACTATAATGGCAGTGATGCAGCCATTAGTAAGATAATGTCTCAAATTGTTCTCGACTGTGCTGAAATTAGAAAAAAAGAATTGATTTGAAATAAAGTTTTTAACCAAATAGAAAAATTACGAGAGATTACCACCCGAACTGAAACCCGAAGCCAAAAAGAAACTCAAACTAAACCAAAAACTACCACCACCTACAATGAACCCTTAATGGCCCTCCAAGATTTAGCCAGTGGAGCCTTTGGTTATCATAATCGGGCTGACTGATTAAAAACTACTCAAAAAATAAATGATCTGACTATCATTAGTAAAGATGGCTATAAAGTAGCCACCAAGGAAGGGGGAACCAAAATCCAACCTAATTGGACGGAAACTGACACCGAAGATAATGCTGGGATAGCAAGAATATTAACGGCTTTTCAATATATCGAAATAGATTTAAATAAATATCTGATTAGATATAAAAAGTTCTTTTATCGTTCTTACGGATTGGAAGGACAAGTGGAATATAATCCAACTACTAAAAGACATATTTTTAAAGATTGGGAAGAAATAGAAGAGGAACAAAAACCTGAGGAAGAAAAGAAACCTAAAATTGCCACCGAAGAACCCGAACTATCTTTTAGTGAATGGAAAAAGAAATTTAAACAGGAACATCCAGGAGAAAAACCTACTTTTCAATTATATACAATTGAGAGATTGGAAAAAAGAAAGGAGCAATTACTAAAAGAATTAAAAAAGACTTCGGGAGTATTTAAGGATAAATTGAACTTACGATTAACTTTTACTGAATACTTAATTGAAGGCTACCAAAAAGAGATAAAAGTTTGTGAAGTGGGTCAACCTGACGAAAAATTGCCTTTGGAAGCCTCGGATGAAGAATTACAAAAAGCCTCTTATTGAGCCAAAGTGAATCGAGTGGTCGGCTTTAAAGAGTTTAAAAAAATGATTGCTTCTTTTGTTCGGGGCTATAACCGACTAACGGAAAAAAAGATTGATAAACCTTGCCAAATGTATCTCTTATTAGGTCCACCAGGAGTGGGTAAATCTTTTATTAGTGAAATGTTGGCCGAGGCTATGGGATTAGATATTGAGGTAATTTCAATGAACGGAAAAAAAGAGAGTAGCATCTTTTTTGGAGTTCCCCAAGAATGGGCTGGGGCAGGAGTAGGAGAAATCTTAAAAACTATGATTAAATATAAAACCCGAGCCCCGATTATTCTTTTAGACGAGTTTGAGAAATGTGATAAATCCGTCCAGCAAGTATTAGGGAATTTAACGGATGAAACCTTAAATAAAAAGTTTAAAG